TGAGTCATCGTTGCTGAGTCATCGTTGCTGAGTCATCGTTGCTGAGTCATCCGCGATGACTAATTCATTGCATAGTATTTTCATTGCATATATAAAGCGTTTATAAGCCCACACTATTCAGTATTTGATTGTCTTTAGCAAGTGAAATTTTGAAAGTTTTTTTTTTTATAATGCCGCCATTTACTGTTTTGTTGGAGGGAAACATTGGTGTTGGGAAATCTACGCTTTTGAATTATTTTAGACGGTTTGATGACGTTGAAATTGTGACGGAACCGATTGAAAAATGGCAAAATCTCAATGGTTCCAATGTGTTGGATTTAGTCTACAGGGACACAAAAACATGGGGTTTTCCATTTCAAATGTACACTCTTTTACTTATGCTCCAAAATCATGTTTTACACACAGCGAAAAAAGTGAAAATTTTGGAACGATCGCTGTTCAGTGCACATAACTGCTTCAATAAAATTTTAAAAGAGCAAAACAACCTCAAAAAGGAAGAATATGATATAATAAATGAGTGGATGGAGTACGTTCAATGTAATTTTGATGTTGAAGCGGATCTTATTGTTTACTTGAGAACATCTCCTGAGCAAGTTTTTAATCGAATCAAACAACGCAACAGACCCGAAGAAAATGACATTTGTCTTGACTATATTCGACGAATACATGAGCTCCATGAAGAGTGGCTGATGCGCAAATTATACTATCGCACTATTCCAATCATTGTGTTGGATGCCAGTTTAAACGAAATTGAAATGGAAAAAGAATATGACAAATTATACAAACATATATTACAGCGGGGAAGTCTTTTTTGTTAGCGGTGTCAAATTCAACAAAACACAAACACATCTTTATCTTTAATCTTAAGAGGAGAAAAAAAAATCGAAACAAATGGAGCGGCTTTTTGATTTTATTATTTAGTTTTATTTATAACCTCATCGAGGAAGTACGTTTTTAGCTTATTTTCTCTGAAAAAAAAATAAAGAAAAAAAACATCAGTGAAATATTTTTGAGACGGCATCAAGATGAATACACCCGAGCCAATGGATATCGATGACGATGAAACTATCATTACAATTTTATTGGATCAACCAGTTGATGAGTGCTGCGGTTTCACATTTGTCGACATTGTAGGATTTCACAACCGCAATCAATTCATTTGTAAGGAATTCTACTTGATTGATGGTGATTATGAATATTACGCCATCATCAAACCGCCATATAGTCTGAATAAGCTTCCAAGGTATGAACGTGAAATGGTGTTGTGGGAAATAGACCATTTGCATGGATTATCATTCCAACGTGGTGACATGCATCTTATAGAAGTGATCGAAGCCACCTATCCTCATCTAATGGACAAAAAGATCATCGTTGAGAATCGCTTTAAAGCAAAAGCACTAAATTATATGTTTCGTAACTGCGGTGAACTTGATTGCATTCCAATTGAAAATATGAATTTTGATATGGATCTTCAATACGAAGATGACTATCCAATCTGTAGTAATCACTCTCGAATTCTGTCTCAGAAAGCATGTGAATGTGCCGTTAGCACTGCTCACCGATTAAAAGAAATTACAAAAAATAATACAAATTTATTGAATTATTTTGAAGAAAATAAGTAAGGAAAAAAATTATTTTTCTGAGTTTTAACAACCTCCTTTTAAAATAATATAAAATAAGGTGATTCTTATGAATAACAATCAGTATTGAATAGAATTTTGAGTGAACAACAACAATTAATTTTAATTCATTCATTCAACATGTCCAAGAACCCATTTAATTGGAAAAACAATTCAAATGTGAAATACCAAAAATTAAGAGAATCACCATCGCCACCTGGAAAAAAATACTCGGAACAAAATAATCCACCGCCGCCAGAATTGCCGAAACGAAATGTGGTGCAAAAACCACCAGAACGTCCCCCCAAACCCAAAAAGGAGAAAAATTTAATAGATTTTAGTTCGAAGTAAACGAATATTATGCATAGATTTGAATGTTCAAACAATCAAGATTTAGAAAAATAAAAATCAAATAAAAACACAACAACTTTTCTGTTTTTTTTCCTTTTTTATTTCATATGAACTTTAAAAAACAGAAAAAAAAACCTAAGACCTATTTTTTTTTTCTCATTGATCTGATCTTATTTCTATTGATATATTGTATTGATATAATCGATAATTTTTTTTTTTATGGAAATACTTTCCAATTAATTTTAATGAGCTTCTGCTCTCTTTCTTCATGTTTTCTAGTGAAAAAAAGGAGGTATCGTTAAATTTAAATATTTGATGAAACGAAAAAATGGCCATTCAATCCGCTCGTTAAATTTAAACATCAATTAAATTACTTTCATTGTGTTCCATATTTGCGGACAAGGTTACCAAAATATCTTCATATAATATTGGATCAATATTCTTGCTTAATTGATAGAGAAAAAACCAATCCCCCATTTTTATTTTTTTAATGAATTTCTCGATTTTTTCAAATGGCAAACAAAGTAGTTCATATTCAGTAACATAACATCTATTATATGTAAATGAATAATTAAATATTTGGTAAAGAATTGAAGTGGCTGTGAAACAGATCATCAAATGGAACCAATACCATAGAAATAAGTAAATTACTTCATTTAATGCATTTAGTGGGAGAATACATAAGCCATCTAAATATTCAATGCTTCCCGATGGACCGTATTTGTTGAATGTGCATTTGGTCATTGTTGGAAATACGCGTACCATTGGATCAAAGCGTGAATCTGGTTCCATGTTGATGAATTTGAGTACTTCTAGACCATAGCTCGAAAATTCGCCATTCAAAAAATAATCCATGAAATACAACTGTCCAATTAAGTTGAACAAATTCAGAACTGAGCATAGCAAAAATTGTAATGCATACTCATTATGTGCACCCATGTTCATTTTCATATAATTGATAATGATTTCTTTTCCTTCGAATTTGTAGCCGTCGTCCGTTATAACCAATTTTACATTATGCGTCAATTTTGCCATTTTCCCTCCTTCCATTTTCTTCCAAATATATCTCGGAACATAGAACAGCATTGCTTGTATCAATAGTGTGAAATAAACCCACTGATAATATTTATGGTATTTAATTTCACTTTCACCTTCATTAATATTTCCCACACCTGGTTGAATTATATCGTTTCCAATTTCACCATTTTCTTGTGCACCATTTGTAAACGTACCGTATGTCCAACAGTAAGCATTGATGAAACTAGTGGGTATTTCGTTGTCGATGAGACAATTAATTGGTTCACCGATGAATTGATTTGATGAAAGGAAAAATGAAAATATTATCAATATTAAGATTGTTGTTCTGTAATGCAACTGGAAAGCAAAATCATCGATGAAGGCGTCATCGGACTCAAAAAGTTCTTTCACTGTATTTATTTCGAAAAACATGATGATTTCTATTTTTTTTCTCTTCTTGTTATGGATATGTTTTCAAAATGAACTTGATGCACTTCTCTGCTGAACGCTTTAAACGAAAATGAATAGACACAATTGGAAAGCGGCACAATTTATAGCAATCAATCCGTTATTTTGGAGATGAGTCATCAGATCATATTTTGGTGATGAATCATCCACATATTTTCAAGATGAATCATCAGATCATTTACACAAAATAAACTCTTAATATATCTTTGAATGGGTTTCGACAGGCTGGGCACACGTTCATCGCTGAAGCACATTTTACACACGCGATAATATGTCCACATGGGGTGAAGACACAATTACATTCATTCGTATAGCAAATTTTGCAAATGCTGACATTGTCACGATCGGCTGTTGGTGCTGTAGGAGGTTGTTTGTTGGTGCTGTTACTTTAAGGGTGTTCTGATCGTTACCTTTTTTATTTGGATCCGTAGCTCTTATCTTTGGATCCGTAGCTAAAGGTAGGGTAGAATATTCGATGATTAGACACGTCGGGTTTGCTGGTAACAATTAGACTGATTCTCTTTATTCGGTATTCGTTTGTTATACATGCGGTCGCCGCTCGTGCGGCGACGTCGTGCGCTTATATTCCCGTATAGGCGCACGAGTCAGTGCACTCGCTACATCATCCCCCCCCCAAAAAAGAATCTGATCGTCCCGATCAGTTATACAATAGGTATGGGGTTAGCCATTCGAGCAATGGTTGTGGCGATCGGAAGGATCTTTCTGATAACAATATATATTACGAATGCGATTATGATTACAGATATACCCAAAACTCCCAGGATACCGAAGGTGTGAGTCTTGTCGGTTAGTTGGATTTCTTTTATTTTTTCTCCGTTCATTTTCTCCATTGCTTTTAGCATATCGGAGGTACTCACATCTTCTAGTATTCCCAGATCGTCTGTCAAAATTGTCTTAGGCTCTATTGCTTCGTCAACGGTTGATTCATCGAATTTCAATTTGTTTAGTTCCAATATCGGTCTTATTTCTGATGAATTGAGGGTGTTCGATTCGTGTCCCCTCAATTTGTATCCTCCGATGATAATGCTACACTTGGGCATTACTTCAATTACCTGAGGTTCGAGTAGAGTCAAGACTTCTACCTCCTTTCCTCTGCAAAATTTTTTAGCGATTATTCTCGAGTCCGTGAATACGTGTATTTTGTTTGTTTGCGATATTGGGGTAACGTATGTTGCCTTCTGAACGCGTTTGGTTTTGCAGATGTTTTTACTGGTTTCACCGCTCGCATTCGTTAGCAATAATATCCCACAACTTTTAAAATGGTCAGTAATTATCGGTGATCGAATTTTGCATATTTGTCCATTTTTCCCAAAACAGTTATCTGATTCGCTCAGTTCAATAATTTCGCCGGTTTCGAGATTCGCTAACAGGTGTTTTGCTTTAATTTTGATAATGTGAATTTCATCTTGAAATTTTATCGGTATTGGAGTTATCTCGTATGAATCAAACGTTCTAGCTTCTACTATGGGAATGGATAATTCGATAAAAATGCTATTTTCCGTGACTCTGGCTTTAACATGCGAAAAGGTAAATATTTCATGAATGTCGTCTTTATTCCAATTGATTGGAAATTCCTCCCCGCTCTGCAATTTCATTTTTATTGTCATCAAATCGTTTCTAATAGCATTTATGTCGATGATATCCGATATATCCCCGGTTGTTGTATCCTTAACTACGTTATTTATTCTAGTCGTTAAATCGTGGTGGTCTATGATGATCAGCGTGGCTATCTCAGTTAAAAAATTGATTTTCTCTCTTAGTGTTATTTCGTCAATTTTTTTATTATTCACCGTTGTTTCATTTTTTACGATTCTAGCTATTTCGCTAATTTTATCTTGGAAATCGTGTAATGTTTGATTTGAGCTGTTTATCGTTTTCATTATTATTGTAGTTTGCTCCTCTAACATGTCATTGTGTACATTAACTTTTCTAACGATTTCGTTGGTTTTTTCTTCATATTTTGTCGCGTCCTCTTCGTCCATTACGCCAAATACTACTTTGAAAATTTTACCAACTGTTGATAGTGGAGCTGATCTTTTGCTTCTTGACACAATGTTATCGTTTTCGTACAACATTCTATCATATTCGTTTTCGAAATGCTTAATTAGTATTCTACAATTGTCATGTTCTGTTAGCTGGTTACATATAATGTTCATTCTAGAGATAATTGATTTCAATGTTTGCTTCTCCTTATAATACTCGCTCAAATCATAATAATAACAGATCTTCCACGTGCTGTACGTTATTTGGGTTTTACCCAGCATCGTGTATATTAGACCCGATGTTGTTTCACTAAAATTAGCCTCGCCCGCTGTTATCATCAATGCCATGCATATCATCGTCAGCTGGATCTTCATGTCTGTAATCGAAGATTGAATTATTGCCGACGTGTGATTTAACGTTCATTCTAATCTATACATTTAATGTCTTATTTTTTTTTTCGTTTTGATTTATTTATCTTAAATTTTTTTCTCTTTTTTTTCAATTCAATTTTTGCGAGCACGGATTTGCCCAGGTTTGAAAGTGAAGTGTTTTGCGTTCAAGAAATAAATGAAACTAAAATGTCACTATTCGAGTTCTTTTGGAGTGTTTGCCCCATGATTCCCTTTTGCACACTTTAGTTTGTCATTATGCACAATTACGGATTTGTTCCCTCTTTTGATCTTGGTTACCGACCGCGAAATGATTTCTTCAACGCGATATGGTCCCAAATAGCTACAATCGAATTTATTCTTTTTTGTGTCATTGTACAGCAAAACTAGATCGTTCCTCTTCAACTTCAACTCGCCCGTTGCCTTTTTATCGTATTGAATTTTATTTTCCAATTTTCTTTGAGCTATCATTTCTCTTGCTCTATTCTGCGTTTTCTTCAACTGTAACAAGAGCTCGCGACGATAGGACTCGTAATTATAGTCCGGTCTCGCGTCCTTGATTGACGTTGGTATTTCTATTTCATAGCCGAATACCAATACGTGTGGTGCGTAGCCCGTTGTTGTATGTACGGTATTATTGTATGAACACGTAAAGAATGCCGTAAATTTATGCCAGTTCTCTTTTTCTTCAGCCGCGTATGCTCTTATGTATTGGCCCAATGTACGATGATATCTTTCAATTGCGCCATTACTTTGCGGGTGATACGGCGTCGTTCGAGTGTGTTTGATCTGCATCAATTTCAATACTTGCTTGAAAATTTCGGCAATGAAAGCTGGACCATTATCCGATACGATTATTTTTGGTATGTTGTATACCAAGCATACATGCTCAACGATCGTTCTTGCTGCCGTTTCTGCCGTGCAATCAAACGTTGGCACCATTATCAGATATTTGGTCAAATCACACGAAATAGTTAGCAAATATTTATGCCCTTCTAGTGAATTCGGATTTATTTCACCCACGAAATCGATGTATATCTTTTCGAACGGAACACTGGCCACCGATGTGATCTGTAGCGGTGTGTGTGTGTGTTTATGTATTTTGGTTTTTTCACATACTGGACAATCACTCACGTATTTTCTGATGTCTTCGTTCAATGTTGGCCACGTGAAATATTGCCTTATACTATTTTTCATGCGTTCCACGCCCCTGTGGCCAGCCAATAACGATGAGTGGTACGTTTGAAGTACCTCCTGGATATCGTCGATGTCGGTCAGTTCGACTTGCTTGCCCATGTGAAATGTGATTGCCACCTCCGATTTTGCGAAGATGCCCTGGAATGCTCTTTTTATTCCAGCATATGTTCGATATGATGAGATGCCCATGTTGAATGCTATACGGTTCAGCTTCTCTGCTGCTACTGTATTTTTTATTTCCATGATTGTGCTCTCGAGCCTTTCCAATTTGAAATTGAAATTCGGAATGGCTATTATGCTAAAGTTTTCGTTGATTTCATTTATTTCATAAAGGCAATCCTCATCGAGTTTGATTTTCTTTTTCAACTTCAGCTGTAATTTTTTGAAAACTGCGTGGTTCACACTGTCGACCAGGAAATAAATCTTGTCGTATTTTCCCGTTTCGAAAGAAGTATTTGGCTCCTCCCTCACATGTGCTATTATGCCACTAGTGTTTCTCTCGATTTCTTTTTCTTTAATTATTTGTCGTTCTTTGGCTCTACTACGAGTGATGACTCGCAGCATTGCATTTATTACTGGATTTTTTGATATTTCACACATCTCTGTTTCTGTTTGTGTGTCGTTCGTGTTGATTCGCGATAGACAATCGCTAACTACATTGTTTGTTCCTTTTCTATGAATGATGTCGAAATCATATTCTGCCAACGATAATTTCCATCTCAGTAGTCTGCTTCCGACTTTATTTTGGCTAAACAAATAGGTTAATGCTTGATGATCTGTGTGTATCACGAAATGCTTTCCCCAAATGTAATGTTGAAATTTTTCGATTGCCAAAATTATTGCCAGTAGCTCTTTATGAGTCGTTGAATAATTTTGCTGAGCCGGCGATAGCGCCTTTGAAAAGTACTCAATTGGTCTATCGTTACACGGTGGTTCGTTACTTATGTATCCCCCTACAGCGAAATTGCTTGCGTCAACGCTGATGTAAAATTTCTTCGTGAAATCCGGGAAGGCCAACACCGGTGCTGTGGTCAATGCTTTTTTAAGAGCTTCGAACGCCGCCTGGCATTCTTTTGTCCATACGAACTCGACTCCCTTTTTGCACAGATGGTGCAGTGGTGCCGCTTTCTTCGCGAAATCGCGTACGAATTTGCGGAAATATGACGCCATTCCCAAAAATCGTTGTGTTTCTGTTAAATTTTTGGGTACTGGGAAGTTTTTGACTGCTTCAATGTTTCGTTCGTCTGGTTTGATGCCATTCTCGTTGATGACATGGCCCAAATATTTGATTTCACGCGCGAAAAGCTTGGTTTTTTCGATTTTCAGTTTTAATCCGCATTCGCGTAAGATCAAAAATATTTTCCTTAGCGTTTT